AACGGAGGGACTAAAAAGGGGCCGGATTTGTGAACAGTAAGGACCAAAAAGGGGATTATTTCGGTACAGGGACCAAAAAAGGGCTTTTTCCTATAATAGAGGGACCAAAAAGGGTATTTAACCTATTATAAATTAAGGGACAGACACTCTCATAATCAATAAGGTGGAGGGTTGGCTACTGCCCACCAGAGATATACTTGGCCATTTTAAATAAAAAATGGAAAAGGATTAGCTTCAAGATCAGCCATGCCGATTAGCGAATCAGAGGAAAACTGCAAGTTGCAAGTTACCCCAGCAGCATAATAAAGTCCTACCAGGTAGAGAGTAGAAAGTAGAAACATCGTGCACGCAGGGGAAGTTAAACAGTGTAATCTTTTCAAAAGGAGAAAAGGAATACACTAAAACACAGATAAAACAAAGAGAGATTAAGATTAAACGTGTCGTGTATCAAACCATCACATATATCATTGTGATAAGTCTAGACAGATGATGTTGGGGAGGGTGGGGTTTCCATGCTCAAGTCTATCCAATAATTACAACTTAAAAGCGAAACCATCCATGTGAATTACGATCCTAAGTTCCATCAACTAGTTAGCGTGCCTGGCCTTGCATATCTTTTCAGTCCAAAACAAATGATCTCTCAAAAGAGTAATTAGCTCTTGAGCGGATAGATAAGTTGGCCCCTAAGCAACAAGTTAGGCCCTGCTTGAGATCAGTCTCAAAACTGGCTGGCAAGAGAAACCACAAATCCTATATAGGTAGCCACTAGGCCAAATTATAGTGTAATTTAACTCGACTTTCAAATTCTGTGGCATTCTTTGACTCTTTGAGTTTGTACTAGTTAAGGGTATCAATATGCAGGGGTAGACTAATAGGGTAGGGGAAGGAAGAAACAGGCGATAAATAATCATTTGTAAATGTTAATGAGAAGGAAACAATATGAAGCTACCACTATCGAAATTTCAGTCTGTTAATTTATCTGTTGCATTCTATTCATGGTTGGCTCAGTCGATATATAACATCTCCAGAGTGTTTTGGCCAGTCGACCTCTCCAACAGCATCACTGTTTCACAGTGAGGAGTATGTGGGAAAAGATCAACAGCCATGGCCTTTACAGGCCGGAAGGGCTCTGATACAGGCATCAACTTTACCCTGTGCCGCGCCAAACCAGCAGTGCTCATAAACCTCCAACCCCTGTTGTCTTTCTTCCCTTTCTCTAGTTTTGTAGGAGAAGGTGTACAGAGCTCAATGGCATTTGCCACTAGGCTTTCAGGATTGCAGGAAATGTACCTATAAGACACAATGCAGGGTTAAAGTCGGATCGCATGGAAAAGTAAATACAACAAGGCTTAATGTCAAAATGGAAACTTACACAAGCCTCTGTAAACTTGGATGAGTTCTCAAAGCTTTGATTACCTGCATTTTCAGAAATAAAAGAACAATATAAGCAAGGATTGCTTTTACCTGGACACAAAGGCCAAGACTCTTGAAGGCAAATATTTAACAATTTACTTGAATAATCAACCAGGCCCAGCACGGAGAAGTGCCTGCATAATATGAACAGCTTGTTACTTAAAATAGGATGAAACCCCATATGTGGGGGATCAACAATTGCAACAACATTTTTAAATTGCTGCGTCAAAGAATTTTTGTCTTTTGAACAGGTACTCTTCTGAAGTTGATTCTGAGGTTCTTGTCCACCATTTTGTGACCTGCCAGAAAGATTCTTGTGATTTTCAGGCACACAACAGGAGCTCTCTTCAGCATTATGTGCGGTATCCATGGATGGATCTTTCTCTTCAGGGGTAATTGTTTTTTAATCACCACTTCTGCACGCGATTGAAAGCTGATCTTGTTTTTCAGACATATGGAGGTAATCCTTCAATACAGATCCCATCACATCTTCTGCCTGTATCCCAATGGACATGCATCCAAAAAAAAGAAGAAAATGGTTAAAACATGAAATTCTTCAGGAAGATTTCCTTTTAATGTTTACCATATTATTTTAGTGAGTCATATCTGAATACATCTTATGTCAATTACAAAATTGATGAATAAACAAAACAAATAGGTATGTTTAATCTCACCTTTGCACACGCAAATCTACAATTTTTTATTCCATTAATCACAGCATTCCTTTAAGCATCTTCTACTGCAGAAGCATTCATTTCAATGCCTACAACCTAAAATTTTCAAAGCCAATATAAGTTGTTTTAAAAAAAACCAATTGTTCTCAGACAAATTTAAATGGATGTAACATTGATATAATACTCTAAGGTAGTAACCCCAACAAGCAGTCAACAGCATGGTAGCTTTGATTTTGCTATCGAACAATGGAACTTAATTTATGTTACATGATAATGCAACATGTGGAGTTCCTGGGAACTTGACGTTACTAAAAACAAAGAAAGGATAACTGGGTAGCGTTATTACCATACCAACATGATGAGCCAACGTGAGACCAATTATTCATGTCCCACAGCATATGTCAAATAGCAATGTATCAGGCCCTAGTCCAGCCCAGTCCCCAGCAAGTGAATATA